ACCATAGGAAAAATCCTCAACTTCGTCCAATGGAAAAGTACAAATTATTATACCTACGACGGTTTCTGAAACGAAGAGAGGGGTTCGATGTGAAATATTGGATCGGTAAATTGGAGGAACTGAAGGAGGAAGCACTAAAATGTTACGACGATATAGAAGGCCTCGATACTGATAATCGTCATGAATTTTGCAAGATGTTGTTGCTTGATGGTTGTTTTGTGGTTGAATTTATTCGTGAGTGTTCTGAAAAATATGCAGAAGAAGGAGAAGACAAAATTATCAATTTTGTTGATTACAAATATAATCAAATACTTCGGGACTTGTTGTTACTAGAAAACCAACTTCCTTTCTTTATCCTCGACCAGCTTCATTCCTGGACAGCGAAACATGATGAATTACAATTGGAAGAACTGGCGATCACTTTGTTTAGCCATGTTGTTAACTTGGGATATATGTCAGTAACCGGTGTTTCGTGTCTGATGAATTTATTTCTATTTGAACGTGATATGAAACATTTACTTCAATTAGTACACACTGTTTCATGTCCGAGGAATTTCGAGAAATCGTCAAACGACAATGACACCAAGTGGAATAAGGTCATGCCAAATGCAACAGAGCTTTCTGAAGCTGGAGTTAGATTTGCAAAGTTCAATCAGACGACAAGTTTATTTGATATAAAGTTTGAGAATGGATTGATGACAATACCGTCTCTTGACGTGGTAGATGGTACCGAAACCCTCCTGCGAAATCTCATTGCTTATGAGCAACAATCAATTGATTTACAATATTTATATTTCAGTGATTATGCAATTTTTATGGATCAATTGATCGACACAGATAAAGATGTGAGTTTGCTTCGCCATAAAGGAATCATAGCAAACTGGATAGGAGAGGACAAAGAAGTGGCTAGCCTCTTCAACAAAATGGGAAACGGGGTCACAGTTTATTCCAACTTCTATTACAAAGAAGTATTCACAAAAGCAGTTAAACATTGTGATGAAAAACCATGGAACAGAATGAAGGCAAGTTTGAAGCACAATTATTTTAGTAGTCCTTGGGTAGGAGCTTCAACTATGACAGTCATCATACTCCTCATACTCACAACTATACAGACTATTCTAGCTATCATAAGTGCCTTTAAGTAAGTAATAATTCTAGTGTTTCCTCACAACTCCATTCATGTAATTTTCTTATGAGTTTTTCATTAATTCTATTTTGTATAGCTAAATGTTAATTTGTTTATTTCAAGTATCTATCAATCTTGGGGATTACTAATTGTATGTCTTAATTAAGGAATTAATTATAACTGAATTACAAAATGAATTGTCTAAATAATAGATAACTTTTTGTCATAAATCCTTTGATTCCTATATTTGTAGTTGATTTTTTTTTGAGCCCCAAACGTAGTTACTTTTTATCAAAATATATTTTGCAATTTAGAAAAATTGCAAAATGCATACAGCTTTTAGCTTGTTTTCCCTTTTTGGTTGTTGTAAGTTGTAACTGATCTGAACAATGGAGGATAAAAGAAGATCGAATTTTGGGTTTAGACGTTCAAAAAGTTGATTTGCTACAAATGAACTTCATTTTCGATGGTCATATCTCAAAAGAATAGGAATATCGAGGGGAGTTTGAATCTAAAATTTGAGTAAGAGTCAATCTAGTTTTGGCATCAAATTCAGTCACAGTTCATTGAATTTTGAAGTAATAGTCAAATCATATCAAATTTGTATAATAATTAGTATATTTTAAGTTACATTTATGTAGTCACAAAAACTCCATCATGTTTTCTTCCTCTTCAAAAATGTTAACTTCCCTCCCTATATCACTTGAGTGAGAATAAGAACAAATAACTCAAAAGCCCGGACAACGAGTGGAGGTAATTTTTTTTTTTATGCCTTCTTACTTGTTAGTTGTGTATATATTTTTTTAATACCTTCTTACTTTTAATCTTCTATTATATTGTGCCTCCACATAAAACAATAGAAATAATTGGATAAATAGTATTAACGTTGTGATAGAATTGGCTGTAACTTCAATAGGGTATTACCAAATACCATACCAAACCAAAGTTTAATTTAAAGGTAATTGAATTATCGAACCAAAATTTAAAAAGTTGATAGTTGATATCTATTTTTAACTACTAATTATCGAATTACCAAATACAAAATTCAAAAATCCCAAATCGAATACTGAATGCCCACCCCCAAAGGCAAGTATAGTGAAACGGAGCATATTGTCAATTCTTGGATCAGATTCTTAAAGAGGAAAATCAACTACACAAAATGGTGTCTTCTCTCCAATCTAAGAAAATATATCATAGATCGTCCTTTTCAAAATAATGCACCTATTAAAATTTTGAATACGCCTATGTACGTACCAATCTCATAGTTCCTCATTAGGGGTGTACAAAACCGAACCGAAAACCGAACCAAACCGCAAACCGAGTCAATCCGAAAAAAAACCCGACTAGTGGTTTGATTTGACTTGGTTTGGTTTTAACTAAAAAAAACAACCCGAGACCAAACCAGCCCGACATTATATATATAATTTTAAAATTTTATTTTATACATAAAAATATTTACTTTTATATAATTTTTACATATTTCTTTTACTTTTTCATAGTTTTTTTCTTTTAATATATTACTTCAAGTTTGAAACTTAGAATTATGAATGGGCCAATAAAGATTATAGTCCACAGATGTTTATAATTATAATAAAGCTTAAAATCAAAATCAAAATTAATACTAATGACAAAAAAGAAAATCAATTCAACACTAAGAATGACAATAATATTGAATATTTGTTCTTTAGTTTTACATTGGTTTAGACAATTAAAATACATAATCTAATTTTAATTTCCTTTAATATTTAGTCATGTAACTAATACTTATTAAACTTAATTTTAGCATGATTTAGTACTTTTAAATTATGATCATTTTCATTATGACTTGTTAATTTACAATATTTGTTTTACGCGATTTCATTATTATGATTTTTGTTGGATATTTTAGTGTCATTAATCATATCATATTGTGTTATATTTTTAAGAAACATCTTAGATAGTTGTATTTTGGTAGGACTAAAGAAATATTTGAAGTACAAGTAAATTATATGTTTGTATGAATACTTTACCGGAAAAACCCGAAACAACCCGAAAAACCGAAAAACCCGAAAAAACCTGAGGTTGAAAAACCCGAGTTTTATTGGTTTGGTTTGGTTTATAAATTTAAAAATCCGACACAAATGGTTTAATTTGATATTTGAAAAACCCGAACCAACCCGGCTATGTACACCCCTAGTCCTCATCCCCACTACCCTCACATCCTTAACCCCATGCCGACCTTAATTGTGCTTGCTCAAATTTTATACGAATATTATATTCAACTTATTTATCAAATATTAAAAATAAATAAGAAAATCACATATTATTCAGAAAAAATAGCAAATCTTCCATCATACTGAACACACCTTAAAAGTGTTGTTCTTCAGTTATACTTGATGTCAAATTTTAGAATAAATAGTGGCTTGAACAACACACTCAAAGTGTTATTCTATGTATATGTTTTACCCTAAAAGTGTTAGTTCTTCAATTATACTTGATATCAAATTTTAGAATAAATAGTGGCTTGAACAACACACTCAAAGTGTTATTCTATGATATGTTTTCTTAAATGTAATGTCTATATACACTTTATTCTATGATACTAAAGCTTAATTTATTCTAAGATACTTTTCTCAAAATGCACACTATTTCATGTTAGTAATGTAGGTAGGTTTGCAATTACACAAATTAAAGAAAAATTAATCTATATATAGTATACCCATATAAGAATTTTATATTCACCATCTCTCATATTCCTTCATCTTCATAAAAGTTAAGCAGAGCAAAAGAATTTAAGAAGAAACTCAAGTACACTCCAACTAGTCCATTTTGAATCAGGTAATTTTTAAATGTCTTATACAACATTCCATCCAATACACTATAACAAATAAATAATTTTGTGATAATACTATATTATATTTAGTGGCAATAATATAATATAGGTATTTAGTAACCAGCATTCTAGATAAATGTCGTTAAGTATATAGTAATTGTCTCAATTGTACCTAAAGTTCCATCTCCAAAACCTACTAATATGCTACTCATATTGGAACCAAATTAGTTCTTAACTATTGAGTTACAAGGTATTCTATCAATTTGAGTATAGTAAGCTGCAAGATATTTGATATCTTTCTTTTAATATGATTTAAATTTCTCTTATTTGATGGATACTTAATTTTAGTAGACTCAATTTTTGAGCTCCTCCGTTTTAATTTGTTTATCTTCGTTTAACTCCATATTTATACATTACTATAAAATAATGGAATAGAACTTTATTATTTTCGTCTTTCATATCTCCTTGATTCATCACTTCTTTAATTTGTAAAAGCGTTTAGAGAGTTTTTATCAAATTAAAATTCTACGAAAGTATACTTGGTATCGTGTTCTAACTTCTACTTCTGACTCTTACATAACAACAACAACATAACATACGTAGTTCCACAAAGTGGAGTCTGGGAGGATAGAGTGTACACAGACCTTGCCTGAGATAAAGAGGCTATTTTCGATAGTATAGCAAAATAGTATTACAGTAAAATAATATTATCATTAAACTATATGAAATCATAAATAGCTTTAAAAATCGAAGAACAAGAAACTACAAGAATATATATAGTCCAATGACTACTAGTAAGGGCAACAAGAAAATGCCCTTTAAATTTGTCCTGTGTTTTTCATTTAATTACTTATACTAAATATTATACCTATTGAATACTTGTATTATGTATAAAATGTTCCTATTAAACATGTTTTAGACAATAAAATTTTTAATGGCTTGATTTTCACGTATTTGACATGAAAATTGTTGTTAGAAGAAATTCTATTGACATTTTCGTAGTTTTTATTGAAATTAAAAAGAATGTTTTTTTTTGTAGGAATTAGAATTGAAGAAAGAGGGATGGCACACTCCATTGAGATTACCTCAATAGATAACCAAACTCCACTGCTTCTTCAAACTGAAAAAGATGAGGTATCTCTCTATCAATTTAGTTTTTTTATTTCATTAACCCACTTTTCTTTTGGCAATTAAATATAGAATTTTTTAGACTATTGTGATTTTAGGTCTACTTCATGATCCTAACATATTCACTAACTATGGATTTTTTTTTTAATTTGAGTCGGGTTTGGAGGGGTAAAGAAAATAGGTCGGGTGAAGTAAGTTTATAAAGTCTTGTTGACATTTTATAATTAAAAAAAGCAGTTTTAAGTTTTTTTTTTTTAAAAAAAAAATCGTCTTGTTAACAAAAAAGGTAAGTATAGATAATTTGTTAAACGATGAGGTATATATGCACAACTTCTTTAAATGTAGATCAAGGAAACAAATGATGAAGATCCATCAGGGTCACAAACAAAGAAACGTGTAAATCAAATCTTTGATAAAATGTTTGAGGATTTGGACAAATCATCTTTTAAATCGAATAGCATATTCAAAGTAAATGTGCGGCTACGTGAATCAAATCCAGATGCTTACACACCAAAGATGGTCTCTATTGGTCCTTACCATAGGAAAAATCCTCAACTTCGTCCAATGGAAAAGTACAAACTATTGTACCTACGGCGATTTCTTCAACGAAAAGAGGGGCTTGATGTGGAATTTTGCACCAGTGAATTGCAGATACTGAAGGAGAAAGCACTCAAGTGTTATGAAGATATAGAAGATATTAGTCATGAATTTTGCCAAATGTTGTTGCTTGATGGCTGTTTTGTGGTTGAGTTTATTCGAGAGCGTTGGTGTGAAGTAGAGCAGCTTCCAAAAGAAAAAGACATGATTATCATTACTAATGATGCAAGTTACATATTCCGAGACTTGATGTTATTAGAAAATCAACTTCCTTTCTTTGTCCTCGACCAACTTTATCACTTGACAAAAAAAGATTATGAATCACCACTAGCAGTACTGGTGAATAATGCGTTTACCCGTTTCGTAGACACGCTAAAAATATTTCGTGCATAATTTAGACTGATAGGAAGTATCACAGGAGATATCAAACATTTACTTCATCTAGTACACATTGTTATGTGATGGGAATCCAACGAAAAATGTAGACCATCAAATAATGTTTCATAAGGTCATGCAAAATGCAACAGAGCTTTCCGAAGCTGGAGTTAGCTTTGCAGACGTCAGCTCTGATACCACAAAATTATTGGATATAAAATTCGATAATGGATTGATGAGAATTCCTTGTTTTCGAGTCGAACATGGTACAGAAACCCTCCTACGAAATCTCATTGCTTATGAGCAACAATCAAATGTACATCCTTCATATTTCAGTGATTATGCAATTTTCATGGATCATCTTATCGACTCAGACAAAGATGTGAATTTGCTTCGCCAGAAAGGAATCATAGTGAACTGTATCGCAAATGACAAAAGCGTGGCTAGCCTCTTCAACAAAATCAGAAATGGGGTCGTCCCGACGTATCCCAACTTCTACTACGATCTGGAATTCAGACAAGCAATTGAATATAGTGAAAAACCATGGAACAGAATGAAGGCAAATTTGAAGCATAATTATTTTAGTAGTCCTTGGGTAGGAGCTTCAACTATGACAGCCATCATACTCCTCCTACTCACAACTATACAGACTATTCTAGCTATCACAAGTGCCTTTAAAAGTAACAAGTAATTGTCTCAATTCATGTATTGGGTTTAATTTGTTGTTGAATGCTAATCCATCAGTTTAATTATTTCAAGTTTCTATTAGTTTTGAGGTTTATTAATTATGTTTCTCTTAGTTTATTTTAATAGTAATTAATTATTTTTAGTTGAACATTTTTCAGGTAGTTTTCTATCGAAATATATCACTCGGCAATCAAAACCAGAAAAATAAGTGTATCAAAACAAATTGCAAAATATATAAAGGACTTCTCGTTTTCCTCCTCTCTTCAAAAATGTTAACTTCCCTATATCTATATTCTTTGCTAAGTAAGTTCTGTTATTGTTGGTAGGGGCGTAAAAAGAATATGAAAAATCGATCGAACAGATCGAATCAAACCGATTTATGTTATTTTTTTCAATAAAATCATGAACTTTTATTTAAGTATATAACCGTCCCGAACAATTGGGATGGTCTTTTTAATTTATGAAAAAAACCGAATAATTTCCGAACCGAACCGAATAATATGTAAATATATTTTATATATTAACAATATGTTAAATTTAATATATAAATATATTTTATAATATTTTTTCAAATATAAATAAAACTTAGGTCCTAAGCCTCTAGTGACTACAAGATTTTGGGTCTTTGCTCTTTAATTAGCCTTTACTTAATTAGGTTTAAAATTAAAAGATATTATAATAGATACTCTATCGAACAATACCAAACACTCCTATTAAATGTTTAAGATTAATCAATACGGTAACAAGGGTTTACGTTCTTGTTTTCTTGGTGAAGAATTAAAGTGCTTCTTCAAGAACATATTTGTGACAGAAATATTTTAATAGTAGTATATTTTGAGGTGATATTATAAAAGTAAAAAAAAACACAAAAATTAACCAAACCGTACCGATACCGAAGAGAACTGATATGATTGGGATGGTTTTAAAAAATTTAACTTTGGTTATACATTATATAATACCCGAAATATTGGGATGGTGTAGTTTTTAAAATATAACAGACCAAACCGTCCCATTTACATATGTCCTTGGTATGTGGTAGAGCCACAGTCACTTAAGTCTAACAAGCATATAGCAAAAAGATAGAGAATACGATATGATTACTATTTGATATTTAATTAATTAAAATTTGAAATATGTATTGAAAATACCTCTAAACTTGGTATGAATTATTACTTTAGGCTCCCAACTATTCACAGCCTTAAACACCCCTCTATTTGATTACACGGATTTTAAAAACATCCCTCTTATGTCACGTATCATCCACCCACGCATATATGTTAAATTATTTGCTGACGTGATATACAATTATTCACCATTCGACCATAGAGACATACAGTTTGGGAGTATCATCAAAACCTTGAAATACAACGGAATACAAGTTGGAAAATGGGAGATAGACACTGAGAAGCAATAGGCATAAAAGTAAGAACAAATAATCTGAAAAAAAGAATTACGATTAGACAAGGCAAGAGGAAATGAAAGTTGCCATTATCAAAAAGGACAAAGATGTATTAAAGCTTTCGAAATTTCCCACTAAGCCAAAGACACTTTTTTTTTTTTTGGAATATCTCACTGGCCCTTGATTGTCGATATCTAATGTTGTGATTAAATATGATGATTCGTGATTGTGATGGTAATGGTAGTTAGGTATGAGCAGTATGTTAGAAAACTGTATGCACAACAGAAGCATATTTTTTTATTTTTTAACAGAAACATATCAGAATCATACTGCTTACATAAATAATAGACAACACATAGTTTATAATAAAACACATAAACTTTCTAAAATTTAATTCAAGATTTACCTCTTGAAGCGTGACCAAATACCTTCAAGCGAATTCACAAGCTAGTCCACAAACTGGATGGGAGTTCTGCGGTCTTCTGCAGTTCACTTCCGAACTCTCAATAGTTGGGTGGGGAAGTATCGTATATAAACTTATTCACATTCAAAGGTACTACAAGGAAAAACATTATTTAAGACCGACATTTAGTGACGGATAAAAAATCTTGTCCCTAAATGTATATCTACAGGGACGAGATATTATTTTGGTCCCTAATTCTCGATATTATAACAAAGGGGCTAAATATGGTCCCTAAAATTATGAGAAACTGGTCTTTCTCATAGAAATTTCATGGTCGAGATTGGAGCTATGTACAGACTGTACACCATTGATCTCTTCGAATCTCTCTCTTCGGTCAGATCATTTGTTTATATCTACCTCAAATTTTTCTTTCTATTTTATGTTTTTGCCTCATAGTTTTGTTACTCGTTGATCTTTCAAGAGGATTAAAGTGATATTCCATATTAAAATTATTTTAGATGATGTTTCTTATTTTCTAATGGCACTGATTCCTGAATTAGGGTTATCTTTGCTATTAAGATCTTTATTCTTCAAGAAAGAATTATTATATGAGTTAGGGTTATCTTTGAGATTATGATATTGATATTGAAGTAGGTGCACATGTTTAGTGTTTCAGAGAGATTAAACAATTGCAATTTCCTCAACTCATTTTTTGATTTATGTTGTTATTGAATATTCGGCACTCTAGCAGTTATAGTGTTATTATATGTTCTATACATGTTATAGCATTGTTATCTATACATATTGGTAAGTGATTTATTTGAGCTCTATGAATTTAGTGAGGTGGGGTTCAACATTATCAAGAATATTGTGGGAGTTTGCTCAAAAAAGTTGCGGTTATCCACAAAAAAAATTGTTGAATGGGAAAAACAACAAAAATTAATAGAGGTAATTTGGACCGTTTATTCATTTCTGATTGTGTTTTAACAGAGGTAATTAGGATATGATTTTAGAAATAAAATTAGTCCACAAACTGTTATTTAATCAGTAGAAGTTAAAGAAAAGTTATATATGAGATTATATACGCTAATAGATTCGAAATTCACAATATGAGGTCAAAGAATTATTTAAGGATCTAACCTAGTGTTTTAACTACATTAGTGAACTCTTATTTTCTAGCCTTTCTTATTGCTATATACTTTTTCTTGTCTCTGTATCTTTTTATTGCTTGCAAGCTTATGAGCACTTCCATTTAGCAGTAACATTATCAAATTGTCTTCCTTTATTACGTATGGCGATAATTAATGTTCCTTGTTCAAGAATCATGTTTCTTCATGGTTAAAATTACATGTTCATGTGTGCTATGAAAGAGTATAAGATTACATGTTTTTTCATGGTTAAAATATACACATTTGTAGGAAAAAATAACTAGTTTCATAGTTGGTTTATTGATAGTTTATGCATTTATGATTGAAATCTAAAAATAACTAGTGTATATTTGGAAAACTTTTAAAGTAGAGATCACATCTTAATTGATAAATTTTAACCAAATAAAATCTCTTATAAGAAGAAACTACTTTTTGTTTTTTGGGAAATCTTGCGAGGTTTGGTCTAATTCATTTCCTTCGTTTTAATTTTATTAAGTGAAGATACGGATCTAGTGTCCATTTATATGGTATAATAATCTTGTCATGTATAAAAGAATTAATGGTAGGACCAAAGCTTACTAGTTCTCTGCACCACTTTAGCAATTGAAGATTATCATTGAGAATTTGGTTTGCTGCTCCAGAACAACTATGTGCGAATATGAAAGAGATGTAATTTATGATCTCCACGATTTTTCAGAGCCTTCATCTTTTATTTTGCTATGACAATTTCGTTGTGTTCATTTAGGAGTATAAATATTTGGATGAATATGACGAGGAAGGTGAAGAACAAGAAGAGGATGAGTGTGGTAAAGAGGAATATGAGGAGGAAGAAACTGAAAAACTTCCAAAAGAGTTATTGGAGTACCAGGAACTCAGATAAATGACTGAAAAAGATATCAGGAAACAGAGGAAGACAAGAAATTAAGAAGGCATTGCCAAGGGACAAGTGAGTGCCACTAGTGTGTTTTTGTTTTTGAAAATTCTTATCTTTTTTTTGTTGGAATCTAAGTAATTCATCATGACAATAAAATCAATCTACTATAATTACTTATCAATATTATTCAACACTTGGCTGTATTCATAACTTAGGAAATACACTTGATCAATAAACTAATGTTGTCATCTCAAGTTTCAAAAAAGAGGATGTCAAACCAGTTGTTCATATGATGATTGCTTCAAGCACAAGGCCATTAAAAAACTAATGAAACTAACTTGCACACATTTAAGTCAACCAGACAACTAATTGACTCAAGGTTCTGAAATTTTTTAAACAACTGGAGCATTGAGAATATAGCAAGAATTTGTAAGGATTTCCATAGAATTACTCAAAGAGAACGAGTCTTTTGATATAACTATAAATGCCTTTGATGTTTCTTTTCTTAAGAAGACCCTTGATCTTTAATTCTCTCCAACTCTTTCTTGTGATATCATAACACAAACAACATAAAACACCTTACTTTAAGTTTAAGATGAAATGTAACAGCTTTTAAGTGTTAGACGTTTTATCTTGGGAAATAGAAATTGAAGATAACACAGAGAATATATGGACTTATTTTTCGAACTGCAGTTATGGAATGTTATATGTAGTCAGATAGACTAATGAATATAGAGCAAGGGATAGCCTTATATAGATATAAAAAAGGGCAGCATTCGACCATTGAATTGTGTCTGTTTTTATTATCTAGCTTATCATAATCGCAGCTACCTGTGTCTGTCTCGGCTCTCCCCCAAACTGAAAACAATACAGACGGAGAAGAACTTTTCTTTGCTGGTTATTATGAAGAGGAAACGGAAAGGTTTTTGGTGGTATGTTCGAGTTGGGGGAGGGGGACAATATATGCATGTGCTATCAGTATTTGGGCTACGGATATATGTTTTGAGAATATAGGCCAAAAGGATTTCCAGAATTGCAATGGTGAGAACATATATAGATGGGGTACCACCACGACTGCTGTTATGTTCCCCCCCATCTCAAGAGTTCCAATTCTTGCTGAAGCTTTTCATTTTGCTGCATAACAAAAATTTTCTCATCTGTCAGCTTTGAAATTAGTGCCTTTGTCTCCAACGAGTTGTCTTGTTGCTCATTATACGACCTTGATATATTATTATGCTCCGATATATTTACAGTTCAAATTTTGAATACTAAAGCCGTAGGAGAAGAACCTTCCTCGGACCCCTGCCTTACATGTAGTGGCACTTGAGGAGGAACATAAACAACTTTCAACTTGCAGTCCTCCACATAATTCCCCGACTCCTTATGGAACATCTCGGGAGTAATGTACTTTGCAGTAGTTCAAGGGCCTGCAACAACACTTTGAAGCAGGAATTTATCCTTGCATTGCATGTATAGTAGAGCGTCTTTATGCCATTGCATTGTAATTATGATGTCGTTGGAAGACTGAGGCATGAAAATTCCAGTGTTGGGCTTTACATAATATTTCTTTGGATTTATTGTCTTTTCCTTGAAAGTAACATAATTATCAGACTTGTTCTTCCTAATATCATTGTTGCACTCTAACATCACCACACTCTCTAGACTCTACTTGTGTGATTACACTAGGTTTATTGATTGACAGGTGCTCATTGAATCTTGGGACATCTATTATGCAGGATAAGGAGCTGATTGAATATATCCCAGTGCGATCAATCACTAACAAGCATCTACTTGAAGCTATCAATTATATGAACTGGGTCAAAAGTGTAAGAATCCAAAGAAACGATGCCCTTATATTGTTAATTACTATTATGAAAATACATCAAGTTCGGATATTCTTTTTGACCACAAACTGCATTTGATTTCAATTGATAGACATGAACATCAAGGTTCTACGTGGACTCATTTTGTTTTATAAGTTATTCTCATTATTTTTTTTATGATCCTAGTTCTGTATTCTCATGAGTAGGATAAGCTTAATGGATATATGAGAAAAGAGTACTTAAAAACCTACTTTATGAGTTGTGAGTTGTGAGTTAGCTTTTAGGTTTCATAGCCGAGCATAGCAAGGGATTCTCCAAAGAGAAGATAGCCCTCTAACAATATTTTGAAGGACTTTGAAGCGTTTGAGTTAATTTTGTTGTTCAATGCTCTAGGAAATCTAAAATATAGAATGCAATATATCTTATTTCTTATCAACACTAAAATATAGTGTGATTTGGTTGTGCACATATGTCACGCCCCGAGCCTACACCCTAGGCGGGACCGGCACTCGGAGACCATTGCTGGCCCCAAGCGAACCCTTGGCCTGGCTTTCTTAACTCAGCGGAAACTTAACTCAACAACACAACTCAATGCAATGAAAGGTTATAAAACCACCAACTGATGCATAACATGCCAAAAGGCAACTCGAGTCTCAAAATAGAATATTTACATATACATACATATACATGGATGAGAGACTCAAAACTACTGACTG